ATGTACAAACATATCCATTTGTAGAAAATTTTGAACTTAGAAATACAGAAGAAACAAAAGAATTTGCAAAAATAGCTAATGAAACTAGACAAGCAGTTAACGGCGTAAAAGGTCCATCACCTCTGAGTTTTCTCGTGAAAGATTACGTAGAGTCCACAGCTATCGATGAGATGCATTGCGTTTTTCAAGGTATAGTGAAAAAGTTGATTAACTTTTGGTTTGACGAGGATTACCGCACTGAAGAATTTTCTTTGTTTCCATACGTAAACATTATCAACCAAACGATAAAAAATGTTAAACTTTTACCCTTTGTACAAAGAACTCCGAGAAACGTCTCAGAACACTCATACTGGAAAGCATCTGAGTTGAAATTATTTTTAATAGTTTACAGCTTACCTGTATTAAAAAATATAATGAAAACAGAGTATTTTAATCACTATACCTTGCTAGTTCACAGTATTTCTTTATTAAATTGTTCAAGTGTTAGTGATGAGATGATAGCAGATGCAAAGATTGTATTGTCAGAATTTGTAAAAAATATGAAAGACTTGTATGGGCAAAAATGTATGACGTGTAATGTACACTTACTCTTGCACTTACATGACGAAGTAACAAAGTTTGGACCTTTGTGGGTAATGACTTGTTTCCCGTTTGAACATTTAAATCGAATTTTAAAAAAATTTTCACATGGTTCAAAAAATCCAGAACTTCAAATTTGCTCGACGATAATTAATTATTTAAATTTAATGTAATTGAAAGAAAAATTACTCAATAGAGACAGCGATGCTTTTAGCTTTTGTAAAAGAGTAGAAGTAAGAGGAACTCACAGGCGAAAATTAAAAACAATTGGAAGAAATAGTTTTATTGTTGGTAAAATTAAAAAAGTAAAATCCGAAAATATGATTAATTTTTTGATCAGAAAAAATATTTCATTTCATCGGAATAAATCTCATACGTTTAATAGGCTTTTTAGTTGTGGTATTTACTACGAAACAAACAAAAATGTTGGAAATAAAAAAACTAATTCTTCGTGTGTTCAATATAATTTAAATGATACTACAAATTACGGGTTGATAGAGAATTTCATACTTACCTGCAGATGTACATGTAACGCAAATTGTCTTGATTTCAATGAAAACTGTAAAAGCTATGCTATAATAAGAGAATGTACTACAGAAGAAATTTTTTATTGTGAAAAAACTAATAAGCATGTACCATTTACTTTGATATGCAAAAAAACAGATACAATGACTTTTGTAAATATTGAAGACATAATAAATGTATGTTATTATAATGTCGTTAACGAACATGTTTACATAACAATAAGATTAAACAATAACGAACTGCAAAAAAATTTATAAAAAATTCAAAATGCCTGAATTGATTGTTAGTAGCATTAAAAATGTTTTGATAAACTTTATAAATACTTGATAAAAAATTTTAAAAAACGTAAACTTAACGTGTGCAAAAATATTATACAAGTTGAATTTTATTTTGTACTTCGATTAAATAATATGAACTTTTTAAAAGTGAAATAAAAGTTACATTAAAGTTTGAAAGAAGTTTTTCTATAGTAGAAAAATAGTTTTAAAAAAGCTCTGAAATGATGTGTCAAAAACCTTTGTAAAAACTTTTATCAAACTAAACTTTTTTAAAAGTTTTTTTATACAATGTGATCACGACTGCAGACACAATTTCGATGGGTCCTCCAAAAGTATGGAAGCTGATACAGCTGTGGAGCTTTTTACCAAGAACCCACTGTTCGACAAACATCAAGTATTTGGAGCAAAACTCATAATGGACAATGATGCTTCTTCTATTGCCAGTTTGAGAGCTGTCTCCATTCACAGCATTGAATTGTGGGCTGATGAAAATCATTCAGTAAAAGTATTTTCTAGTTCTCTCTACGGGATGTCTGTACCCAAAATGCTAATTGATTATTTTTCTAACGCCTTAAGTAACGCAATAGCAGAACACAAACATCGCCCTCAAGCCCTCGCAGACTGTTTAAAATCTATTGTACCTCACGCATTTGGTGACCACTCGCTTTGCAAGTTTCACGAAGAAAAAGATAATTATGAGTACAAAACGCTTCCTGGGAAAAAAGCAATAAAAGGACAATCTCTTCAAACTTCTTTAGAAGAACTGATGGGGCGGTACGTGAATAACGTGGAAAAATTAGCTCCTTCTGCCTCTACTCAAGTTAATGAGAATTTTAATAATATTGTTGCAAGCAAGTGTCCAAAGTCTAAACATTACTCAGGATCGGAATCCTTGAACTATCGCGTGGCAGCTGCTGTGTGTCAGAAAAATTTGGGGCACTCATACATCGATAACGTTTATAAAACATTAGGAATTAGTCCAACGCGTCAAGGATTGAAATACAGGAAAGTCAAAGATAATAAAGTTATAAAAAAAAGATTATTTGCAAGTACCAGGTATGGAAAAATTAGGCGTAAGCCTGTAAAAAACAAAAAATCATCAAAAGCAAATAATGCTCAACGTACCGAAGGACTGACTTATCAAAGCAACGTTGGTCTAAGTGGAGTATTAGATATACCTATTGACAAACTTGATTCACCTTTCATTGATTCGTCAGAAAGTGAAATTAAAAATTTCAAAATTGTTTACTTCGATACAGAAACAACTGACCTTTTTTCTTCTGACCAAATACTTCAAGTACGTACGAAATAACATTATTTTATTTTTCTTCATTTTTCCATTGTTAATACATTTGAGGTACCCGTTAACAAATTTCACATTGAAGATAGCAGCCTACGACGGTCAAACACTTTTTAACGCATACTCTGTCCCGACTGTGCCGATAAAGCCTGCAGCCACTGAAAAAACAGGATTGACTTCAAAAAGGGGAGAGCTTTTTTTGAGAGCCAAAAAAGTTAATACCATGTCAAAGGAGGCAGCCTTTCAACAATTTTTGAGTTATCTCGAAACAATAAAAAAACAAAAACTCCGCGGACGAGCCATACTGCATCATATTAGTTGGTCACAATGTGCTACGGTAGACTTATAATACATATTTAAAAAAAAAACAACAAAATTTATCCTTACATTACATGCAGTATATATATATATATGTATTATTGTAGTTTCGATGCAGTAAAAATTAAAAGCCTCGCCGTTCAATTGAGCCTGTATGAAAAATTTTCCACTATAGTTTTTTGATACTCAGATACTTTAAAAGTAATCAAGAAAACAATTCCAAAGCCGAAAGGTGAAAAAATGTCCTACTCCGAAGAAAATTTAGTAAAAAAATATTTACCGCATGAAAATACAGGTAATCTCCACAACGCTGTTCAGGATATTATTGTACTAAAAAAACTCCTAGAGATCCTAGGAATCTCAGATATTGATATTAAAAATGAGTGCGTAAGTCTACAAAAAATTGAAAGAGAAAAAAAGAACAAACTGGCACTGGAGAACAACAAAAATTCACTAAACTTTTTGAGAGATTCCATCAAACCACGGATAATTACGAAAATGGCTAAAGAAGGAATAAATAAACAAATTCGCATCGATGCCTATAATAAGGATATACAATGTGGAATCAAAATTTTACTATCAACGAGCATTAATCGTAAAGTACGAGTAACGTCTTCCCTTGATGTTGTTAATATTATAAATAATACAATAAAAAATGTAATTACTAGTTTGTAACATTTACTCATTCATTATAATTTAACAAACATTAATGTGATTAAAAGCTGTGTTCATGAGATTGTACAAAAAAAATTTTATTAAATAAAATTTAATTATAGTATTAATTTATTACTGATATTCATCATTTTTATTATCAATTTTGTACTAATATTTATTCATATTTATTATTCATTAACCGATGTTTATGTTTAGTGCACAAAAAACGAAAAGAAAATTGACACCACAAGCATTTTCGTTACTACTCGCTTTTAAAAAACCGCGCGCTAACATATACCAATATGGCGGCTTCCCCGACTTCCTCTCGTAATCACAAAACCAGTATTTACGTTCGTTTTTGTTAAATATTTCGAGAAATTAGCCGTCAACCCATATTGTGCTCAACACGATCCGAAAGAAGAGGATTTTCTCTACAAGTTCCATGTACTCACTTTACTCAGATTTTTGTTTTTTATGCGTAATATGTGATTACGTCACATTTTCCTCGTTTTTTGGTATGCGCCTGTATAAAAAATTCGAACTTTGAGCTTTAATATCTCGAGATTTTGCCCGTCATCGAGCATAACTGAAGGTACCATTGGATTCAGCGAGTCTTCATCTATTTAATTACACAAGTCTTGTACCCCAGATTTAGGCGGAGGTCCAACCTTTACACAACTCTTTTAGTTCAGTAACGGTACCAACCTACGACCTAGTGGTAACTAACGAAGATTACAAATATCTCTTTTCCAAATTCACTCTGAATTTATGAAAAGAAGTTTTTTTTCAATTATTTTTAAAGTGGTTTCAGGTGACATACTGTATTACGTAATCACCGTTTTTTGCTAAGTAAATGCAAAATTGTGTTATCCATGGATGGCTTTAAATTTAATCCAGGTTTGGGAGTGTAAAGTCTTGGAAAGTCATAAATCATACTTATATTTTTTATAACAATTATTCAGTCTTTAGTAGATCATTAATCATGCAGGGAGCATTTATTATAGGGCACCTCTTAATTCCTTTTATAGAAGCTTTAGTTGAGTAAAAGTTACATATTTAATAATCTTAGTTCTGATAACTCTTATCATTAAATTCTATTTTAAAAGACTTGCATAAACATCGAGAGATAAAAGCCATGAAATGTTTTACGAAATGCTTTCTCATAAGTAAATTAAAACTTAGATAAAAATTATACTTAAACTGTGTGTACTAAGCGCTTATACACCCCTTTTATAGTTTATATTATCTTCCTTATGCATTTTATTTGAACAAAAAAAATTATTGTGAATGAAACCCCTATTATCAAAATGTTTAAAGCCTAACTAAAAAGTAATTACTAAACTTACCTTGAGCCAGTTATTATATTTTGGTGCGTCATCTAATAACATATTTGTTTGTGTAGAATTGTTGATAATATGTTTAGCTTCATTGTAAAAACTCCCGTGATTATTGACTGATATGTTAAGAGCTGTGTTTCTCTCCAACAAGTTATTTTCACTCATATCGTAGTGGACAGCATCAGATTTCTTATTGTACCCATTAAAAGATCTTTCAAATAGTGTACCGTTAGTGTCATAGTGAGCATTCTGATAAGAAAAGACTCTTGAATTATACTGATTATTTCTAATACTGACAGATCTTTTAACAATTTTTTGATCAGAATCTGGTATATACAAGTAATAAGTATGATTTTCATACAACATACATGATGTAGCTGGCGGTTGAATAAATCCAAGTGGTAAAGTAAATATTATCCAACAAGATAATGATGCCAAAAGAAGTTGTTTTCCTTTTTGCCACCTAGTACAAAAAGTATTTTAAAGTTCATTTACATTACAAAAAATGTAGTCAAGTGATATAGTGTTAACGACATTAGAAGTACTAAATTTTAGTAAATAACTATACTCTTGTTATTTGACTATAACTCACCTGTCAGCCCAAGAACCCCAAAAAGGAGCACTGAAAAATTCAACAAATGGCCTTAAACCTATAATTAATCCACATTGACCAGCATTCATACCCATTTGCTTAAAATATACGCCCATTAATGGAAACAGAGAACCAAATGCAGAATAAAAAAAAAAGTAGAAAGTCTTGACAATAAGAAGTTCTTGATCAACTGTTCCAAAGAGGTATTCTAAAAAATCATTTTTTCCACGAATTTTATGAGTAGCTTCTTTGGGTTGTGGATACAGGTTAGGATCAACATTTCCTTCTGCAGATGGATCTACTATGGGTCGAGCTCCAAATATATGAGCTGAATCGTTCGATTTGATTGTTTCACTTTTATTTAACCATGCTTCAGCTGTATGATTATTATATTCTTGCATCTTCTTACAATTTAAGAGTTATTTAATGTACCAGCGTATAGTTATAAGAAAAATGATCTTTAAATTTTAATGTAAAGGACGTGGCTTTACTTTCTGCAGTTTCCGATACAATAGAATTTCTCCTAACCCTCAAATAGAATGAAATCGATGCTTGTGAAGGTAAGAGCTTAATTTTCAAAGCAATCAATACTGATGTATCCTGCGCCCGCGCACCAGACACACACATGGATATGTATACATGTACGCATACTTACAGATTTGTGTGAATGGGTAGCAGCGTATATTAAATTATCATGTAGAAATCAGCTGTTACACTAATTTTTCTATTAAAGTTACAAAAAATACTACTTCCTGAATGATTTATTATATTCCTTAAATGTATTATTACCATCACGATAAACCGTTAATGGTACATCCTATCAATATCTCATTAACTTTATACGTATCATAAAGTTAATGCATGGGTTTAATTCTGAAAAAAACTACATATATTAGCAAAACTTGACCGTTAGTTTTCAACATTAAATAATCAAACTATAAAAAGTTACTCTTAGAGAGATAATGAATTATTAAAATGTTAGAATCACAAAAAATTTTGCTCTAGAAACCTCACATATTTTATTGAAATTATTTTTCTTGTTCTGAGTCGAAAAAAAGGAAGGGCTGAAAAATTAATTATTTACTTTGTCTTATATTAAGCAGGGTAAGCAGGTCAGAATTTGACCAGCTTGATAAAAAGCTATCTTAATAATAATGGCATAAATTCTTTCAATATTGTTCATTAGAATTTTTATCAAATTTTCCTCTAATCGTTTCAAATTTTATGTAATAAACATAAACATGAGATACCTACAGTTACATGTATTGAAATACGGTGATAGTCAAGAAATAGTTATAAAGCTAGTAATTGGCTAGCACAATGTAGTAATTAAATGCAGTTAAACCAGTTTTTGACTGTTTTATAAAGTATTTTTATTTATAATCTAAACTATTGTTTTATTAACTATTTAAGTAAATCACAAATGTTGAAGAATAACTACACACTAATAATATCTATATTAATGAAAGATATATCCAACTGACTTCAGGGTTGAGTTAAACATAACTGAACGATCTAATATCGAACTTTTTTGTTTTCCCTAAAACTAGCCAAAACTCTTTCTGGACTGTTTGTTTGAAACAAATTCCTCTCAACCATAGAGAAAGCTTTGTTTTGAACACATTAAACATTGAAATGGTATTATGCACATAAACGTGTTTCATGAGTACTAGAATAAAAAAAGAGAGTTCTAGCTAATAAACAGCTCTAACTAAATCTATGACTATCTATTTATTCTAAATATCTATTGAAAAAAAAAAATCATCACTAAAAACATCTGAACCTTACAAATTTTTAATGCGAGTGAGTGTGCGTATGAGTATGTATATTCTAATGTTTACCAAAGTAGTACCTTATTTCACCATATCACACGTTATAAACATTAAGTATCTGTTTAAGTTACTTTCACCAAACACATGTATCTGTGTGATTAATCAGATCTCAAGATACCATAAACTAATTTATATGAAGCTTGGCTTGCTTTCCTACTCCATATTTATCACTGCCAAAAACTTATTCTTCATCTGTATAATTATATTTATTCTATTCAAGTTCATGATTTAAAAAATTAAGTTGCCGTTACAATATTCATTTTTTAGTTTATCTCACTGTTTTACAAGATTTTCTGTAGTAAACTCTAAAACGTTCCAAAAGTACGCACAAAAAATATTATAAAAAAAAAAAATACAAAGAAACACCTATTTTAATTCCATTTACTTTAAAAAATTAAATTTTTAAGTATACATTTTTCTCTGTACTAGCATTATATAGAAGTCGAGGTGGAGATGAAAAATCACATACACAGATAATGTGATAAACTATGTTTTTTTTATATTTAGAATCATAATAAAGTCATTTGGCAAGAGGATAAATCACTTGCCTCCCTCTTTCTAAAAAACAAAAGTATAATAAGTCTTTGTTCCAAAGTTAATAAATAAATTACATAAGTGTGTTTTGCAATTTTTATTATTCACACAATACAATTTTGGAAGGCAAGTTGTTTACTGGATCGTCAATAGAAACTGCTCCGTTTACCCGATATATACGAGAAATTTTATCATCTAATTTGATAAATGGTAAAAGACATATGACTGTTTGAAAATTTTTAGATATTAGTAACTTTGTGTTTTTTAACTAATTAAGGTTTAAAAAATTGTAATCAGAGGCAATAAATTTAATTTATTCGGACAATTTGTCAGTTTTGCAAGAACGTAAAATCAAAATTAAAAAGATTGTACTTAACATTTGTTTTATCTGTTAGTAAAGCATATTTTGTTCCTGAAATACGTTGTATTATATTATTTTGTTCTCATATAAACTAAAACGAAATCAAACTATGTAGTTTTCACTCTTAAGCGGTACGAAATGCAAACCTCATATAAAATATATTATTGTCTTATAACATCATTAGAATATAAAAACTTTAAGAAATAAGTTAAATCCATTTATTCAGATTCTTACATACAATACCAGTAATGAGTAAAATCACACTATTCGCTTCGTGCAGCAATTTGAAACAACGCCACCTGCAGAGAAAAAGATGTCAATGCTAACTAACAAGAATACACCCCAATACGCAGAAAAATTATTTTAATAATTCTATAAGAACTCGAAAAAAATTCTTTTTTCGCGAAAGTAATCAAAAAGCCTACTTTTTAACTTCTTTAAGTAATCGTGAATGTCCACTATATTAAAATTCTTAAAGAATTCCTTTTGTTTAATGAAAAAAACTGTATCGGGCGTAGAAAATATTATTTTGTAGTGATAAGATTACTTTGAAAATTTTATAAGAAACGCATTAAATTTAGTTTTTTCCAAGAAGACGTTAGAAAAAAAATTTTTTTACTCATTTTAATAGTACTAAAAACTTAATTTTTTAGGTCTAGTTTGTTAGTTATACCATTGTCTATTTACATAAATTGTTTAAGAATCCTGTTAATATTATTAGCCTTTGACTAAAAATGATTAAAAATATTTGTAGTGACAGAGAATTGAATTTGGATCCTTTGGAATGGTACGTTGGCTGACACTTAAGGTGGTTCTTCACCTAACCCATTTACTTAAACTTACAGGGAAACTTGGAGGGATTGTTATTAAAGTTATAAGGCATCTTCTCTTAAAATTTCAAGTCCCTTTCTCAGGCAAATTTTTGAAAACAAGTCAGTAAAAAAATGCACTTTTCACATGTATTCTTATGTGAGTTACTTTTCCATACTACGATATCATGTAATATCTCGTAAAGTAGACTTAAGATCGTAATAGAAAAAGTTTGTAGTGAAAGAAGAACTTTTCAGCTTTCTAATAATATAACAAAAGTATGGGCTAATCAGGGAAATAGTATACGATATTTAATTGTAAACGTAATCAGTTATCGATCATGCAGAAATCGGCGGCAACGTCTGCTCGAGTAGGAGCGTACATGCCATTTTCAGAACCTTGCGTCAAAAAAAAAATTTTTCATAACTCTTACTCTGACTTTATTAGCATGTTTATTTGTATGTAAATGCAATGATATTATAGTCAAGTGCCAGTACAACATATTTTATGTTGCAAATAATACGCTAATCGAAAATTAGAAAACCACAGGGTCCCGTGTCGCTTTGATACGGCACTATCGTGAAGAACCACCTTAAACGGTTAAGCTAAAACAGACTTAGATAGGTGGTGTAATTTTAATAATTCTATACTGAAACTCAAATTCAATCGGCTTATAATGGAACTTAAGTTTACTTTTATTAATGACAACTGCTTTTAATATTATTTTTATGTACATTTTAAATGAAATAACTTTTTTCAATATGTGCTAGTGTGGTTCATAAACAAGTTAACTCTAATAGTTGAAAGAGGTATTAAAGTCAATCGACTAGTATAATCAGAAATGGCATGGAACTTACAACAGTTCTTATAAATAGCTGGCTCAGTCAAAAATTATTAGCTATTACTTTACCGATAAATTATAGCTACATTTACAGCTATAATGACTTATAATAATAGCTATAACTGACTACAAAGTAGCTATAATCATGTAATAATGATTACTATAAAACGTAGATATTGACAACTATAATTTTTGCGCGACTTTTATACAACAAAATTTAGCTATTAATGTTCCCAATTATAGCTATAAATACAGCTATGATTAATGGGTGAAATAATAGCTGATAATTTTTGACTGAGGCAATACTAAATTGTTCAAGTAAATTTTTAGACATGAGATAGTTACCTGAGATCTTAGGTGAGATTTCATCTGATAGTCACAGACAGGGATAAAAATATTTGATAAAAATATTTCTTCATGACTCAATCATTATTTCATTAAAAATACTTTATAATGACGTATATTTACACGGAGAAGTAAATAAATGTAATTTTTACCGTGAAAGCAACGGTAAAAGTGTGACACTGGGACATTTACTATATTTTTTACCGTAGTTTAGGGGTAATTTTTATCCCAGTAAAATTTGTCTTGAAAAGACCGTAATTTTTACCGTGAAGCAACTGTAATTTTTACTCAGCTGTTAGGATAAGCTAGGGTCACGTGGTACAGAGCAGAAGCTATAGGACAGAGCAGACGTCTGCTGCATTTGCTTAACCTGCAAATTGACACGTTTTGTGTTGGCATTTATCAGCAGAGTTAATAATTAAAAATTTGTAAGAAAAACATTACCCACGTTCGTACCATTCACTAACGTATTTAGCTGTTGAAATGAAAATATTGTGATAGAAATTTATTGATGAACACTATTTTACTTAGTAGTACATTTTTTACAGTAACGTTATTGTCTTGAGATGTATTTACAGATTATGAGGCAATACAATTACTTCATTCTGTATCCGGGCACTGGCAAATTATCTAACAAGTATCAACAAACAGGCGTTTCGATATTGTCGACCTCTATTGCGTGCAAGTTTGATTTTTATTGGGCAGGATGCAAAGGACGTTTATGAGCAGACAAAATTGCTTTTCTTTTTAGATTAAACATTCACACTGTAATAATTTGCAGTTATTTACATCGCTTGTATAAATTCAAGACGTGTC